TAAAGAAATCCCACACCGACGATCAACGGACCGAAAATTTTCACCGTTGGAAAATCTGCACTGTTTTTCTCGAAACGTAACGCGAAACTGAATATGTTCCGAATATATAAATGTATTACGTACTACTTGGATTCCGTCGCGTTTTTTCTTAACTCCTGAAAAATTCGTAAAAAGAAGAAAAAAGGTTCTCCAGGGTTGAAACAGCATGATCAAACGTTCGACAACAACGAGTTATACAGAAGGGTTAACGGAGCATAATTACATACATCGCCGTTCTTTAACTAAGGGTCAATGCGAAATTCAGACTTTGACGATGACCGCGCGCGCGTGTGTGTCTGTGTGTGTGTGTGTGTTCTAATGAAAAAAAAAAAAAGAAGAACGGATAACGCATTATTCTTAACAAGTCTACACATTTTTCTCGTATACTAAATAGTAAGAGCAAATTCCTGTATAGTCCATTTATAGTCAATTTGCTTCGCGAATACTTCTAAACTGCAATTATCTTTTCTTTTTTTTTTTTACTTTTTTTCTTCTTTTCTTTTCATTTCCTTTGCACCACGATTCTTTTCCGACATTAAAATAGCACAAACGTAGAAGCGGTATGTCACGTGGTTTTGAAAATAATCGCACAGAAGTCGCACTTTTTTTTTCGAACGGTCGCGCCAAACACCTTTCGTTGTTGCAAAACTATATTTATATGTGTATGTACTATCTCTTCATTCTGATGCCATTTCACGATCATTCACGCAGAACAACCAACGTGACAACAAAGAAAACCCTTTGCATTCCTTTTGTAGAGTCTCTAACGACGACGACGACAATCTAAGCGCATCAGGTGCACCGTACAATTCTATCCTAAACATTCTCTAAAATTCATTTAAAACGTATACAAAGCTACCTAACAAGTATGATGGTATCGATGCTCTAGAAATAAGAAAGGAATAATAAACTTAAGTCGAAAGAATCGTCTCATCTTTGACTGGTAACGAGATATAAAGTGGAACTGCAAAGGGTTAATCGGAAAGAATCTTGCTAATTATACGTGTGTGTGTGTATATATATATATATATCTTTTTTTTC